GAGGCGGGGCCCGGCGTTGAGTGAGGGCTGTAGCAGACTGCCTAGCCCATCACTCAGCACCGGGCTTGCTTCTGGTCACCCTGTACCATGAAACAAGTCAGTAAGTTTTACCTTATAAACACTGAAACCAGTGGATATCAATTTTGTGGTTCCGATCGTACGGTGGACAGTGACCACCGGTCTAATTCCGGTTCCGCGCGACGCATCGAGCGACGCAGGTTTCACCGCGGAACTTCAAAGATCATCGACGGCAAAAAGACAACCTCACGAGGTTTGAACTTTACCGCATTGGTATCCGGTGATCTCACGCTGCGTTCAGCAATCTTTTGCAACGTCAGCAATTTGTTGTCAGTGTTAACAACAAGAAGTTTGGTGCTGTTGTGGGGGTCGGTTAAAACACTGTCAACTTTCTGTAAGTCCCTGGCCGTAGCCAGTTGTGCTATTCCAACCCGACCTCCCACAAGGTCTGACAATCTACTTAAATTGTCCATCTGGGTAACACCAAAAGGGTCGAGGCAAGCGGAGCGACTATGAGCATGCTACCCAATTGCTCTGCTGACGACCCTTGGTTCTGAACGGGTGGAAATAAACTATATTTCCGCTGGCGGTGGAATGTCAGCAAAATGTGGGTTGATGCAGTGGATGACGTCATGAGAAGCCTGCTCCTTTAGCCAGAGCTTCTTATGACGCCGCCCACCACGGGAGAGATGTGTCCAATAAACTTATATTGTGACATCTGTCCAAAAGTGGGTCTCGTCAAACTACGCTTATAGCCGAACCACTTTGCTCTGCTCAGCAAAACGGACGGTGGTAGACAGCGGGGTAGAGTATTTACCTCGCTATCTCTCACCGCCGTCACCCAAACATTTCGTAGTTAAAGTTATGTACTTTAATGCTTGCCTCAGCAAAAATTGTGTTCCAGAGAATGGGACGGAGTTCGATAAGCCATGAGCCACCGCACTTCGAACCATCCTCTAACAATGTCAATCTGAAATAAACTTATATCTCAAACCTTCTGCTGCGCTCAGCAAAAGTTCCGGAATTTCCGGCGGAATGACATCCGAAGATATCACTCCGTCAAACCTTCCGGACGTGAAAGCTAATCAAGCTTAAACTTATAGCTTGGAATCCACGCAACATTTTTGTCTCTCAAAGCTACTACAGCCATACACCATCTTGACGAACGCACATGCGTACGGAACAAAAGATATGGGTGCTCCGGGTTTCGAACCCGGTAATCTGGGCGACCCCTCGCGACAATCCCAGAAGACCGGAGCGGGAAGCGAACACAATGTCTACTGGGTCGATGCTCTGCGACCGCGCCGGGGTTTAATCCGACGCAGGCTAACACCCGAAGATGCTTCGCCCCGAGGGTCGACTTATGAACTGCCAGTTCCCTAGGTACGACTGGGGAATGACCTACCCGATGTCCCCGCTAGGTCTTCCAATTAGACCAACACCCTGGTCAATCTAGGAAAGCCAGATTATTCTGTACTTATAGACGGACAATCTGACTTCAGATGTTTGTGGGTCGACTTCGATCCTAACCGTTGATGTACATCCACGGTTCCGTCTGCGTTCCGCTTCAAGTTCCGGTCAAAGAACGAAAACTTTAGGCGAGACAGAGGCTCTGTAGCAACGCAAGATAAGGGGAACCAACCTGGCGCTGACACGTGGCAGGAAACCAGCGGTTGGGCCCCCTTTTAGGTCGGCGGAACGGTACTCGTGGCCGCACGAACTTCGTTGTCACAGGGCCTGTAAAACTTTGAACAATAATTCTGTCAGGAAACAGTTGAGAGTTGGTTTACAAAAACTCTCAGGTCGTTCGCGCCCTCTTGGCAGCCTTACGAACTGACCTGGTGACAACCTTCTGCTTTGGCTCCTTAGCTTTAGCAGGTA